TCTACACTCGCCGTGGATCCGAGCTCTCCAATCATCCAACATCATCTCGCAACCGTCTGTGATCTCCGTTGTCCCACGAAAGTTCGAGATCCACTGTATCCCTCATCCCTATACCCTGGATCCAGGTCCCTCCAGGCGGGATCCTCCCTCCTTGGATCCGAACTCGGAAGTATGGGATCCGGGGTACCTCGCGGTGGATCTTGACTCTTCATTAGCCGTGGCTACTAGATCCACCTTCAGAGGGCACCGACCATCCTTCCTTCATAGGATCCACACTCGATCCACTCTTGTATAGTATATCCCATATCCATCTTAGTGAATCCAGGTAAGGGTGGATCCGAGGTAAGTCTTGGTGGATCTTGCCTTCTCGTACATCGCTCATATCAGATCCATCGTCATTCCATACGTGGTGCTGCTCGCCATGGCTAATCCACCACAGGCAACTTGCATCCGTGCCAAACAACCCAAATCCTCTATAATCACTTGAAATTGTCACTGATTCGGGATAGTGACCCCGCGTCAGGACCATTCTCTTATTTCTGAGAAAGCACTTCACCACAACTGCACCCCGTTTTCGCGCCCTTGGACCCTTGATAAACTTCCGGATGTGATGATCCTGAATTCCGATGACTATACTTTGTATGCTAATTTCTGATTTATTTGCAAATCCTATATCGTCCACCCCCGTGAAAACGGGTTGCACTACTGTATCGGGTTTCGCTATCTAAACAACTCTTAGAAAATAATGGTTTACAGCTGTAATTGTCACCAGCCTCTTTGTTCAATCTAACACTATCTTTCTGGTTTATTATAAGAGACAACGTTTATTAGCACAGCGCTGTGCGGCCAGCTCATACGGCCAGCTTCTGCTGTACATGTACAACGATTTGGCAGTAACCTCACGCTTTGGAATAAATAAATATTTTTTCTAACAAATATTTTTTTTACAACAAAACAGTTATAGCTATTACTTTAGTCATTGTAACTTGCAGAAGCAATTGGGTCAGAGTATTTAGTATACATGTCCTGCATTCTGACATGGTCGCTAAGCACCCTGCAGCATTGGCCCTCAGTGTAGCTCTCGAATATCCATTACAAAAATGCATTATTAAGGAGTAAATAAAATTTAAACGATGCCGCCTACGGATAGTGGATAGCCTTG